AATAGATAGAACGATAGATAGATAGATAGATAGATAGATAGATAGATCGATAGATGGATGGATGGATCGAGATATATAGATAGATAGATAGATCGATAGATGGATGGATGGATAGAGATATATAGATAGATAGATAGAGATAGAATGATAGAACAATAGATAGATGGATGGATGGATGGATGGATATAGATAGATAGAGATATATAGAAAGATACATAGATAGATAGATAGATAGATAGATAAAGATAGATATATAGATAGAACGATAGATAGAGATAGAACGATAGAACAATAGATAGATGGATGGATGGATATAGATAGATAGAGATATATAGAAAGATATATCTATATATCTTTTAGATAGAACGATGGATGATGGATAGATAGATAGAGATATATAGATAGAACGATAGATAGAGATAGATAGATGGATGGATGGATGGATGGATGGATAGAGATATATAGAAAGAGATAGATAGATAGATAGATAGATAGATAGATAGATAGATAGATAGAACGATGGATGGATGGATAGATGGATGGATAGATAGAGATATATAGATAGAACGATAGATAGAGATAGAACGATAGAACAATAGATGATGGATGGATGGATATAGATAGAGATAGATAGAAAGATATATCTATATCTTTCGATCGATAGATAGATAGATAGATAGATAGATAGATAGTTGAGGAGGACAATTTTGGCTGTACAGTAGATTAGGAGGGATTGTGCTTAAATCTTATAAAAAATAATGTCAGAAAAAAATCAAAAAATGTTTTGATTTTAAAATAGACAATATTTTCTTTACACAAAATATAATTTTATATTTTTGTCTTTTAATTTTGGGGTAAATATTATAATGAGTTTGACCCTTTAATTTTAAATCAAACTGTACGCTACAACAGAGAAAGAGTTTATTCCTAACTGAATTGTCAGTGGCCTTATGATTTGTTTGTGTGTTGCAGACACTCTTCTTATGGACGCCTTTTGGATGATAGTGAACACAGCTCTGTGGGGAATTTTCTTAACCCAATGTTTGATGGCTAAATGGGGAAGCATTCATGAAGAAACATTCGTTTCTGAGGAACAACCTACACGTCTTTCTTAAGCAATGAATATGGTAATATTAGATTCTGTATTTTGGCCCCAAAATAAGATGATGCACTGACCAGAATCATCAAGAAGTTTTAGAATGTAGGCAAGACTTCGACTTCCTGTGAGTATTACTATGAAGGCAGGTTCCTGTTTGAAGGAAGTTTTTAAGTGATGTCCTTGAAATTTCTTTTTTGGTTTGTTTGTTTTGTGTAATGTATTGTCTCAAGTAAATTTTTTGACTTATTCACATTGCTTGCTCTGTTCGTCTCATGATCATATATTTGAGTATAAATAAACCACATTACTAGCATTAGCTGTAATTTTTCTAAATCAAATCAAAAACCATTATTGGTCTCAAAGAGTGACCTTATCATTTACCATAATTACAGCTGTGGCCTCCCACTGTTCATCCAAAGACAGTCCCTGTTTTAACGCAAAGACCGTTTAACATTTCTGTAGCCTCAACAATAACAGATTTTTCCCTTTGTCATTGTAATGGCAGGGATCCACAAGCAGCATGCAATTAAGCATTTAAACAGTCAAGACTGTTATTAGAGCCTTAAAAATAAGCCATCAAGCAAACGGAGGCTCGTTAACAAAACATCTGGTGTTCTGGCTTGTTTGAGATTGGGTTCAGTTAGTCGTGCTACAGCAGTTTACCACATCCAGAAATGTATTTGTGAATGTTTAAAACCACTCATTTAGTTTCCTCTCTTTTTGTTACATGTTTAACAGCAACCACTGTTTCCTGTTTTTGCAAATGCTCTACTTTCAAAAATGGTATAAACCACATGAACATTGTCTAAATCACTGGTCTAAAGCAGCAGCAACTGATTGTAAAACTGTTGATGTGTTTGTAAAATGATAAAATTAAAAATCACTAATATATCATATAGTAGATTTTTTTTCCTATTTCATGAGTACTTTGTTGGACAGGATGTTCTTTCAAAATCAAAGGACTTCCTGTGTGATTAATATTTCATGCCACTATCCATGAAGATGTTTTAGACAAACTATATTTAGACTGTGTCCCAAATTTTAGTTTCAAATATGAAAAAAAAAAAACTAATATAAATGAATGGAGAATAAAACAGCTCATATAAAATGTAGTTTGACTTTCTGTTCTGAGGCTGACAATTCTTATTTTCTGAACATGGTGCACCTGCTCTCAAAGACCATTTGTTTTTTATCTTGTCTCCCAAATTTGAAAATCTGCTGAAAATTTGCTCGCCCTCGGGTCATCCAAGATGTAGATGAGTTTGTTTCTTAATCAGATGTGGAGAAATGTTGCATTGCATCACTTGCTCATCAATGGATGCTCTGCAGTGAATGGGTGCCGTCAGAATGAGAGTCCAAACAGCTGATAAAAATATCACAATAATCCACAAGTAATCCACAGCACTCCAGTCCATCAATCAATGGCTCGTGAAAAAAAAAAGTGCGTTTTTAAGAAACATCCATCATTAACATGTTTTTAACTGAATCAGGAGAGAAATACTCCCAGATCAAGCACCATTTAGAAAGTGAAAACAGTCCAAAACAAATATGTGGGTGGATTTTGATGTGAGAGGACAACAGGAGATGGACTTTTTCACTGGAGGAAGAGTTATTATATTATATTAGCTGTGACCTTGATCATCAGAAATCTGACCTCATTTTAATGGAGGACGAACCGTCATTGTCTACTGAATTCAAATTCACATATTAAACATAACATTCACATAAATCTAAAGAAAAGAGGCCATATTTAAAATCTGACAGACCTAAGCACTGTTTGTTCTTGACTGCTCCTTATATATAATGCATAAAAAGTGATTCCAGCAGATTAATAGAGGTGAAATTGAAAACGTCCCATTTTCAGATCAATGCTCTAGCATTTTTAACATTATAAGCTGGATCTCATTTAAACCTAATTTCCCTTCCATTTCACCACTTTTATTATGTGATTATCTATTGGTGTAAAACACAACAGAGATGAGCAGACAGGTTGCACTCATGCTCAGCTGCACGGTGTTTGTGAAGGTATTGTCATGAGCGCTGAGTGTTTTTCAGTGTGCTCCTGTAATAGGCTGATAATGAGTAGGCCTGTCATTAACACACAGCTGAGAGCTAATTGCTGTCATGATCGAGCATCAAACTGTGCTAGCAAAGCCCCAGCATTTACTCCACTTCAACACTTCATAACCCTGAGTTTATTTTAGCATTTATGATGCCTCATAATATCATCTTTTAAAAATAATATTCAAATATTTTTACCTGTTTCACTTTTTAAACTTTTAAACATTCACAATCACAGGCATCCAAAATTTAACAGGTTTCTATGGTATGTACTATCAACTGTATGTAGTTTTGTGTATTTTGCGACTTTGGAGCCCCTGCAGTTAGGTAATTCACTGTCGTAAAATGTGCCACTCTCATAATTACAGTGGATAGCTGGATTATATATAAACTCGCAATTCTGAGAAGAAAATTCAGAATTGGGAAATGTGAGAAAAAAGTCAGAACTGTGAGATAATAAAGTCGCAACAATTACCTTCCATCGACAGCTGTACACGTGCATTTGTTGTTACCTTAAAGCAATCTTCTGGAATTTTGTACCCGCTCACCATACTTAAAGGGGTGGTTGATCAGCTTTTTTCAAAAGCTTGATTGTGTTTATGGGGTGCAGTGTAACATGTGCTCATGCTTAGTTTTTTTTATTTAAAACCACATTATTTTCACATATTTTACCTTTATTCTACACTTTATTCTTTCCATTCTCGTCCAAATGGTCTGTTGAGTTATTGGTTCTATGAAGCCCCTCCCTCAGAAATACGCAATGGACTCTGATTGGTTGGCGGACTCAGTGTGTTTGTGATTCGCTAACCGCCTAGTGCACGTTGTCCGGAAACTTCACGCCCCCTTCACATTACGGGTAGTTGCGTGTTGCCGGGGGCGGGGTTTATGTAAACATCGGGGTTAGTGATGTCACAAACCCAGGAAGAAGCTCGTTGTAGTCCCTACCAGCCATTTTTTGTAGTCCTTAAACAGCGATTTCTTTAAAAGAAAATATCTCCCTTTGCATTGAACTCTGAGCGTCGTAACTTTGCAGACGTTGTTTATGCTCTAACAGCAACATTACACACTAACTAAAGTTCAAAAAGTGAACTCATAATCAACCACCCATTTAAAAACTCCCAGCACAGCGTGGGAAAGTCAGTGTATCTTCAGAATGATATTGAAAGTTACATTTCAAGGTAATGTATGTTTTTAAATAATATTTTAGTTGGGGAGGTCATTTTACTGTCATGTTAGTCCATTTTATCTTACTTTATTTTATTTATTTATGAATTTTTTTTGTTAGCCCATTTAATTATGAAGTAATTAATTAATTAGTTGGCACACTTATTTATTTGTTTGTCCCATGAATATACTAAAGATGGTAACAGTAATTTCACTACAGTGCAATGTTATATATTATTGTATGTATCTTTTACCTGTAAAGCAATCGGACAAGTATATGGGCAAAATAATTGGACAAAAGTGTCTGTCTGAAATATACATAATGTAAAGCTTTCATCAGTGGCATCTGCCGCTGAAGCTGTTGAAGTAATGAAGATTTTTCATCCATTTCAGGGATTTCTCTGAGGCAGGCTGATAATAACAGGAGGCAGTGAGGCAGGATAGTTTGGGTACTGTGGGTCGTACGGGTAGTAGTACGAGTAGTATGGGTATTGGTAGTTAAAGTAAGGGTTTGGGAAGAAGTTATTAGGTCTAGGAACAGGGAAAAAGATATTTCTGGTGATGGAGTCTGTCTAACCCTAGATCACTAATCTCACCTCACTAATTACTGGCACTGTGACTTGCTCCACCTGAACGAAGAAAGAGAACATTGTTTAGAATTATTTTATTTTTAATAATGTTTAATCAATTTTACCATATCGATTTTTACTAGAACTTACTGGAGCACTGAGACAAAGACCAAGGATCGACAAAAATACAACGACTGTCTTCATCTTTAAATTCTACCCTAAAATGCACAGAGCACTTGCTATTATCATAAAGCACATTATAAATAATAATAATATCTTTGCAAAGTGCTTCACAAAGCATAAAATAAAGAAAGAAATTGGTCATATGTTCTTTACCTCAAAGATGATTTCCTAACTCAGAGCTAAAGCTGTCTGATATGGTGTTACATTTGTCAAAACAGGCATATTAACCATATGACCTAAGGCTGTCTAAAAGTATATCTGAATATATGTTGATCATGTTAACAATTTAAACAGTATCTGTTTTATTTGTATTTAGCCGGAGAAATTGATATTTGTAAAAACAGTAGTGGCCCCAATGCCGAACCCTGAGGAACACCATAAATTATCAGTGAAGCTCAAGACACTTGATATTGTACAGCTACCGGAAATTTTAGTTTTGACAGAAAACAGTTCTACCCCAGTTATTCTGATGCATTGCCTTTCTGTCAATTAGAAATTATTAATTGTCAAATACCATGTTCAGATCAAATGGGCTAACATTAAGATGAAGCACATCTCTCAACATCATCTGTGATCAGTAGGCCACATCATAAACTTAATAATATAACTATAATTAACATTAATTTCAGAGGAAAATAGAATAAATTTGAAAAATACTTTGGATTTCATCAAGGTTCTGTAAGAAGTGGAAAATTAAAGTCTATCTAGGCAAATTTTTTTTTCTTTTTTAAAGTATTATTTGACATTAAGAGTTTAAAGTGTTATTTTGTTCTCAAATTCTGCAAAACACTTAACAAAAGTAAAGTTACAAACTTAAACCAAAAAGGGTTTTTAATAGTCTGATTCCTTTGGAAAGTTCCACAAAAACTTCTTTAGAAGATCTTTAGAAATCCACCTATATAGTGGTGGACATAACCTCCAAAAACCAACCAAAATATAAAAAATGTTTCTTCATAAGAGGACGCTTCTTTGCTTAACCAAAGATTATGCAACAAACCATTCCATAACCTATATTTAAGTATACTGTATGTGCCCTTTGCTGCTCAAATTGAGGCTATCTGTACAATATATCATGCATGCCTGATAAACCAGTCATTGAGTGTTAAAAGTGTAGATAATATGCAGTTCTTATCTGAATGTCATTCATAATAATTCATGGTCCTTTACAGATGTTGCATGCTGTAAGTTACAAAGTCCTGAATGTCTAACTGTTGTAGAAGAATAATTGAAAAAGTGTGGTAAACTTACCATCAAGTGAAAACATTCAGCTCTACTTTAATGTTGCAGTGGGTACATTTAAATGCCTTATGGGTAGTACATCAAAAATCTGTCCTATCAGATTATACCACACATGTGACCACAATGAAGTAATTGCAGGACTAATTAAACATCAATTCATTAGGCCTTGAATGTTGTACAAACAAAACCGACATTGTTCAGATAATATTCTTTAGAATCATACGAGTAAAAATTTGTTGCTATCATAATTTCCAAAAGTTTAAAGTAAAAGCACATTTACATTGCAAAGATGTCTCATAATGAGAAATTTGTAAATAGGTCACGTATTGTCAAGCCTAGATATCATTACTGCCTTGTTTATGTCTCTATAAAACTGCAGGTGTATTTGTCAAGACTTTCCTCAGTAATTATGGAAAACACTGCTGTCCTGTAACTACAGCAGCTTTGCATTCCAAAGCTCTTATGTAACGTTTAATTCACTTGAAGAAGATACACACTTTCAGTCTATCCACATTTTTCTTGTCATAAAAATGGGCACGGTCATTTGTAAATTGTATGTGTCTGGCTTCCGGTCTCATCTGCATCCAGCTATTTTTAGCTGTACAAAACAGTTCGTTTTGCTGCTTGATATTGAGAATTGGT